AAGTTTAAGTAGGAGGGAAGAGAAAGTGTGGCTTTTGGAAATCATAAAAAGAGAAGTAATGGTCTAGAATTAGGCACATTCAGGTAAAGCAAGAAGTAGTCTTTGAGCAGGAAGTTACCTGAGTCATTGCAATTAGAACTGCTTAAAAATAGGACGACTAGAATGCTGGTGGGATTAACCTTGATAATCATGCTCCTAAGAGGAGGAGGGAATTAACTGTGAGGTAAATTCCATCATAGTCTTTTTCCTGGAGGCTGTCTTCCTTTGCTGCCTACTTATGTGCTTTAATGCCATTTTTGGCTGTCTTCCTTTGCTGCCTACTTATGTGCTTTAATGCCATTTTTGTTTTCTGCTTATACTTCTGATTTTTCTATGTCATTCTTTACTTTCCAAAACTTGGACTACCCAATCTTCTGCACCAAGATGTACCCGCTTTGTATTTACATATTTATTTAATAAATCACTTCTTATAAAAATTATCCTTAATTGGTATAGAACTCTCTGTAGCTTGAAGCTATAGCAGAGTCCAAATTAATTCTACATCTAAGTATCTAGGCTAATGGGTAATTTGTCCACATTGGAGAGCTGTTAGTACATTCATGATGCTATCATCATGAATTTAAGGAGTTAGGTGCCTTCCCAGGAAGAAAAAATATAATGTATCACAACCATACTGCTCTAGAATCTTCGTAAATTTGGTACTTTGATCACCTGATGAACCAGGTGCAAGAATTAGAAGTTAATTGGCAGGGTCCTACCCTATTTCTAGAAATATATATATGTATTTTTTTCATGTATATATATATATGTGTGCATGACAAATTTCTGCAAAGAAGCAAATAACATAATCTGGCAATAAATTACTATAAAAATAGTGGCATTAGTCAATGCCATTCAGCTGAGTGGCACGGATTGTAAACGCCTTCCTTTCCTTTTGTTGAGTACAGTGTTTTCTGTTTGCTGCCTTTGAAACTGTTTGAGAGCATAGACAGGGCCTAGGAGAAGGAAAGCAAACTAATTATTGGTGAATATAAAATAATAGCTTCTTTAAACTAGAGCCTCAAATGTGTTTCAGAATTTCCCAATTATTCTTTATTTTCCCCCTATAGAACAGATAGAACAAACATTTTGTGTTTCTGCTCTTTCTCCACAATATCACCAATATTTTATATGCCTTAGGAAAAGGGGACCAGAAACTAGAGAAAGGGTTAGATCAAAAAGAATTAACCTAGAAGGTAACACACATGCACAGGAAATTAATGTGAGTCAACTCCCTGTATAGCTATCCTTATCTCAACCAGCAAAAACCCTTGTTCCTTCCTACTATTGCCTATACTCTCTCTTCAACAATATTAGAGATAAGGGCAAAATAGTTTCTGCCCAGTATTGAGGGGATGGGAGGAAGAGGGAAGGAGTGGAGTGGGTGGTAAGGGAGGGGGTGGAGGCAGGGGGGAGAAATGACCCAAGCCTTGTATGCACATATGAATAATAAAACAATAAGAAAATTAATGATCAGAATTGTATACAATTCCTTTTCACTTGCCATTCATTAGAATCCCTCATTTGCTATTCATTAGAATCCATCTGTGATCCCTCTCTCTCATTGCTTTGGTAAAATTCCTTGTAGCATTTTTATGTGCTTATGTGTGTGTGTGCATTTGTACATGTGTGCTCATGTATACACCAAGATCACACAGCATTAAGAACTGTGTTTCCCTCATATGCCTGATCCTTTCAATCTCTGATGCTTTGTTAATATTGCAATTGTGACATCCTGCTTTCAGGTCCAAGAGATTTTAAAGAACTGGAGTGTATTTTTGAGTCACATTTTTCTTTTTCTTACAAGAAATAATATGGTTTGGGGAAGTATCTAAAATCTTTAAATTGTGTATGTGTGTTTAAGTACAATATTTATGGTGTTCATTTTTATTAATAATGTCTTTTATTATCTCATCAGCATTCATGTAGAGGGTGTACCATATACAAGCATTGTACTGAATATTGGAGACACCAATGACTTATAAGGTTGAGGTTCCTGTCTTAATGAGGTTACAGCATGATAGAAATGAGGTTGGATATAATTTTCTTGAGCATTAAAGGAAATAAACAGGAAGCTATGAGACTGTAACAGACATACCTAAACTGAACTAGGAAAGTTACTCAAGGAAGTCATAAGACCTGACTTACACAGTAAACCTTGCAGATGAAGTGGGTTCAACCCATTCCAGCAGACAAAACAGCCCACAGAAAGGCCTGTAGGTGTCAAGAACGAAGAAGGACTGCAATGGACTGAGTTGGGGATAAGCTGTAAGATGAAGCTGTGGACGAGGGAGATGGGACTTAACTGTATGATTGAAAGCTGTGTTAGTTATTTAGATTTTTCATAAAGGAAACAGGAGGTCATTATATAGTTTTAAATAGAGGAATGAGACATTAAAAGTACACTTTGAAAAATTTTGTTCTAGCTAACCTGTGAAGAATAAAAAGGAGGGGGGAAAGAGTGTCACCAGTGAATGAGATGGCTTCTGGAGTTAAGTGACTTTGGCTTGAATCTGGGTTCTGCAATTTGTTAGCTCTGTCATTTTAGGAAAGTTTGTGAACTTTTCCAACTTTCAATTTTCTAATATACACAAAGTGGACGTAATAGTATCTGCATTGCTTGCGTTTGCTGTGAGAATTAAATGAGGTAATGAGTGTGAAGCCCCTACTTTAGTGCTGGTACATGGTGTTAGGTGCGAGGAAGCTGGTGGCAATTTAACTAAGGAGGTGCCTGGAGACACCAAAGTGCAATGTAAATTATTTACTCAGGTGTTCCTTGGTCATAGTTTACATACAACCTCATTTGTATGGGGAATTGGGTAGTGTCATAACAGTCTACTGTTTTACTATGTAATCAAAACATTACCTTCCTAAGAGAAGACATACATAGAATAGCATATAAACTTTTTCATTTCTTCATTTCCATGTTTTTATATTTCTCCAGGCAATGCTTCTGGCTGTGTGCCATGTTCATGCCACACAGCTGGTGCTATCAATCACATCTGTAATAGCCAGACTGGCCAGTGCACCTGCAAAAATGTGTCCACTGCTGGCCAAAGCTGTGACCAATGTGAAGACCATTACTTTGGATTTGATCCTCAGACTGGAAGGTAAGTCTTTGTAAGAATGATTAATTAAATATGTTACTTATTTATATTCACAATTACTCTTTCTTGACTAATAATACTCCATAAAAAGTGTTCTTTTTTCATATACTTTTGATTCTTTGACATGTTGTCTGTTAATGGTGATCTTTGAATATTTATCAGAATGGGAAATATATTGATAATATAGTGAAATATATTGATAGGTATGCTCTGTATTATAGTCTGAAAATGTTGAATGAGAAAAAAATCTTAACTTCAAAATCTTATGACCTGTATGTAAAAAAATATAGGCAAACAGTTATTTGCTAGAAGAAAGTACACACAGAATAAATATACCTAAGGACCACAGTAGCTGGCATATGTGCTTTGATCTCTAGGGACTCCCAACCTCCTGAATTTAGTGCTTATTTTTTAGTTTGTTGAATTGCCTTGCTTTTCTAATTTAGGTTTAAACACTGCAGATAAGAAACCTAATTTTGTATTTCATGATACTGTTTTTCCAGTGGATAAAGTATATTCTGGAAGTAGTCACTTTTCAAAGTAACACTGTCTTCAATATTCCAAATATTTCTTCATAACCATGGCATTTGCCTATGTTCATCTGTGATCATTGCTATATTTTCGAAGATGTATTATATCATTTTGGAGAAAAGAGAGAGGAGAGAGGGAGAGGGGGAGAGGCATCAGATTATGAATTTGTCTAGAATTTGGACTATATGACTTCTTTGGTGTCCCTATTCCAAAGCAACTAATTTGTACTGAATTTCAATGATCTATAATATCAGTCAAATATATTTCTCAGGATGTTTGAATATTTAAATATAATAGCGGTGTGAGATTATCTGGGCCCTATTTAAATTTTAATTGTTTTTGTTGCTGTTGGTGTTGGAGATGGATCCCAGTCTCACATATGCCACGCACTCTACAGCTAAGCTGCACACCAGTGCTATCAGGGCTCTTTTAACACATTCTCCTGCTGCCTTTTGGCTCTCACTCTTCTCACGAACACATTCATTAGAGTGTGGGTAGGGTGATAGGGCACTTGTTGCAAAGGAACTCAAACTAGTTCATTTTTATTTTCTTTTAAAACTTATTTCATTAAAAAACTTTAGGAAAACTATTGCAAATCATTTATTAAACAAATTATGTTCTCATTTTATGTACATATATTTGTTAATCCCTGATACACTATTTCTCTTACCCTAGAAATCTTATTTTGGTAGTCTGAAAGCATTTACTTCTCTTCTCTACGAAGACTGCATCACTCTACAATTACAGAAAGCACATGATGCAGTGAATATTGAATAAAGAGGACTGTTAGGATTTTGAGAGTAAAGCTGGTGTCATTTGCTGTACATAACACCTCCTGTATATCTTCTTTTTTTTCTGCACTATTGGAGTTTTAACTCAGGGCCTCATGGTTGCTAGGCAGGCATTCTACATCTTGAGTTATGACCCCTGCTCCTTTTGCTTTAGGTATTTTTCTAGTAGGGTCTCATGTTTATGCCAAGGTTGGCCTGAACTGTGATCTTCCTATTACACTTCCCATACAGCAGAGATGACAGGTACACAACACTATGCTAGCTTTTATTGGTCAAGATGAGGTCTCATTAACTTTTTGCCTAGGCTTGCCTTCAACCACAGTTGTCCCAGTCTCTGCCTCCATTCTGTTCCAAGTTCACCCTTTTAAATTTTCCTAGTGTTATCACCTGTAACTCTCACCAATGACCAAGAGATATCTAAATTGTCTCTTTGTTTTCCTTAACTTAATTTCTTTAAATGAAGTCTTATTCCCTTCATTTTACCACTTTCTCGTCCCTTCAATGTTTTTAAATTCGAGGCTGCCCTTTACCCCACATTGCTTCTTTCTCTCTCACTTTCTATCTGTATCACTTCTCATTTCAGTTTAATCCAGGACCAAAAACTGCTTACAGAATAGTGTTCTCTCATCTATCACTCTGCAGTCGGCTTGGCGGGAACTGGAGTTGAATTCCCCGGGTTAGAAGGTGGATTGAAATGTTAACATAAATTGATGAGGAATAGGAAGAGCCAAAGAAGGAGGTAAAAGCTCATTGTTGGAAGGTACTTAACTTAATATCAAGAAAGCAGAATTCAGTCAAATGAAAGGGAGGTGCCAGAATGGAGTCTAGGACATAGAGCCAAAGTGAGAAAAGCTGGGTAGATTTTTTTAAAAAGGTTCAGAGTATGTATGGTTTAAAGCAAAAATATTTACAAGTCTTATGTAAATAAAATTGGATATTTTTGTATATCAAATCTCTTATGCATATGTAAATGTATTAGTGTATATAAATTGTATGGAATAATGGGTTTCATTATCACATTTTTATCTTTAGATACAATGAATTTTAATCATATTTATCTCCAAAATTTTCTCTTTTTGACTCATATTAAATTGATTCATGAAGGACACTACCTTTCTAAAACCAAGTTACCCTTTGAAAAATGATATAACACGTTTCTTCATCCTTATTGTGATTGGATTTATTCTTCCAGGTTTTCGGTCATTGCTATAGTTTGGATCTGGAATTTCCTCCAAACGCTCATGTCTTACAAGTTTGGCTCCTAGCTTGGTGCCTTTGGAAGGCAGTGAAACATTTAAGAGGTGTGGTCTAGTGGGAGGTGTTCAGGTCATTACGTATGTGCCCTCTAAAGGGAGAATGGGACCACAACCCTTCCTCTTTCTCTCTCTCTCTCTCTCTCTCTTTTTTTTTTTTTGGCATATTCCCCAACATTCTTTTTTTTTTTAATTTTTTTTCATTTATTCACATGTGCATACATTGTTTGGGCCATTTCTCCCCTCTGCTCCCCACCCTCCCTTGCTTTAGGGAAGAACCTGTTCTGCCCTTATCACTAATTTTGTTGACGAGCAGACATAAGCAATAATAAGAAGCATTTTTGCTAGTTGAGATAAGGCTAGCTATACAGAGAGATTCCTAGCATTGCTTCCATGTACAAATGTGTTACAACCCAAGTTGATTCATCTCTACTTGACCTTTTCACTAGTTCCTGATCCCCTTCCCATATTGACCTCTGTCACTTTAAGGTTTCTGTATTAATTCCTTTGCAGTGGGAACATCAAACACTTTCATGTTTTGGGTTTCCTACCTATCCCATACCTCCAGTATGTGCTCTCCCCTTAGCGTGTGACCCAAGTCCAACAAAATTGCTGTATTTACCCTAGATATAAAGTCCACATATGAGGGAGAACATGTGATTTCTGGTCTTCTGAGCCTGGCTAACCTTGCTCAAAATGATGTTCTCCAGTTCCATCCATTTACTTGAGAATAACAAGATTTCATTCTTCTTCATGGCTGAGTAAAACTCCATTGTGTATAAGTACCACATTTTCTTAATCCATTCATTCATAGTGAGGCATCTTGGCTTTATCCATAACTTGGCTATTGTGAATAACGCTGCAATAAACATGGGTATGCAGGTGCCTCTGGAATAACCTGTGTCACATTCTTTTGGGTATATCCCCAGGAATAGGATTGCTGGATCATATGGCAGATCTATGTTTAGATTTTTAAAAAGCCTCCATATTTATTTTCAGAGTGGTTGCACTAGCTTGCATTCCCACCAGCAGTGTACAAGGGTTCCTTTTTCCCAACACCTGTTGTCAGTGGTGTTTTTGATGATGGCTATTCTAACAGGAGCGAGATGGAATCTTAGTGTGGTTTTGATTTGCATTTCCTTTATGGCTAGAGATGGTGAGCATTTTTTCATGTGTTTTTTGGACCTTTGAATTTCTTCTTTGACAAAGTTCTGTTTAGTTCAGTTGCCCATTTCTTTATTGGTTCATTGATTTGGGGAGAGTTTAGTTTTTTAAGTTCCTTGTATATTCTGGTTATCAGTCCTTTGTCTGATGTATAGCTGGCAAATATTTTCTCCCACTCTGTGGGTGATCTCTTCAGTTTGGAGACCATTTCTTTTTTTGTGCAGAAGCTTTTTAATTTTATGCAGTCCCATTTGTCCATTCTCTCTCTTAGTTACTGAGCTGCTGGGGTTCTATTAAGGAAGTCCTTGCCTATACTTCCAGAGTATTCCCTGCTCTTTACTCTACTAACTTCAGAGTTTAGTGTCTGATAGTAAGGTCCTTGATCCATTTTGAGTTGATGCTAGTACAGGGTGATAAACATGGATCTAGTTTCAGTTTTTTGCAGACAGAAAACCACATTTCCCAGCAACATTTGTTGAAGAGGCTGTCTTTTCTCCATCATATATTTTTTGGGCCTTTATCAAAAATAAGGTGGGTATGGCTATGTGGATTCATATCCGTGTCCTCTATTTTCTTCTACTAGTCTTCATGTCTGGTTTTGTGCCAGTACCATGCTGTTTTTATTGCTATTGCTTTGTAATATTGTTTAAAGTCTGGTATTGTGATACCTCCAGCATTGCTCTTTTTTCTGAATATTGCCTTGGCTATTCGCAGTCGTATCACAGATCATATCATCTGCAAATAGGGATATTTTGACAGTTTCTTTACCTATTTGTATTCCTTTTATTCCTTCTTCTTGCCTAATTACTCTGGCTAGGAATTCCTGTACTGTGTTGAATAGGAGTGTGGATAGTGGGCATCCTTGTCTCGATCTTGATTTTAAGGGAAATGGTTTCAGATTTTCACCATTAAGTATGATGTTGGCTGTAGGTTTGTCATATATAGCCTTAACAATGTTGAGATACTTTCCTTCTATTCCTAGTTTTCTTAGAGCTTTTATCGTGAAGTGGTGTTGGATCTTATCAAAGGCTTTTTCTGCATCTATTGAGATGATCAAGTGGTTTTTGTCTTTGCATGGTTTTTGTCTTTGCTTATATCAGTGTGCTGTATTACATTTATAGATTTACGTATGTTGAACTATCCCTGCATCCCTGGGATGAAGCTGACTTGGTCATGATGAATGATCTTTCTGATGTGTTATTGGAGTTGATTTGGCATTATTTTACTGAGGATTTTTGCATCGATGTTCATGAAGGAGATTGGT